GAATGCCCAGAGTGCTGTGATGTCAATTCTTAACTCAACACCTATTGCCGACAGTATGGGTTTGGATGAAGTTAAACAAAACGTTGCGATTTGATTGTCCCTATTTCGATCAGCTATGTCTGGAATTCAAGCCCCTCTGAATGAAAATTCAACACCACTGGGCTGCTTGTTCATTCTGCTAACAAATGATAGTCTGGTTGAAAACATAAATCTTTATGCAGTGAATGCAGTAAAGAAAAATACACCACTTAGAAAATTCTACATTGTCAGATTGGCAGCCAATAACCAGAGGACATTTTTTTCAGTTTCTCATTGTAGTGATTACTGGTCTACAGTGCACCACAAATTCACAGCATATTTCAAGGTAATTTACGGCCGCATGACTAACTGCACCTCCACACGGTAGAGGAAGGTAAACACACTGCAGTGTGGCTAACACAGCTATGGGGACCGAGTATCCGCCGGGATAAGTGGACACCTCTGGGGTGCCCTATGCTCTGCTATGCCAAAAATGAAACTCAAAGATCTGATGGTGAGGCCCCCAGGCCAGGCAAATCACAAACACGAACTGGGGAAGAGAACGATGGCAGAGCAAGTAAGGGTAGTTGTGATGACGGCCTTAAGCCCGACAGTACTACAACAGAAAACTCTGTCACCGCTCTAAAGAAAACTTTAAAGTTAGGAACATGGAATGTTAGGAGCATGAATCAGGGAAAACATAGCATCCTTGGCAGAGAACTAGAAAGGAATAAAATAGATATACTAGGAATTTCTGAACATAGATGGGCGGGTCAAGGCCATTTTGTGACTCAAACAGGAGATACATTTGTTTATTCAGGAAAGGAAAAGAGTGGTTTGAGAGGGGTGGGTTTTCTGATGACAAGAACAGTTTCTTCATCACTTCTTGGATATAATCCGATCAGCGACTGAATTCTGACTGTCAGACTGAAGTCAAGAAAAAAACATCACAATTGTTCAAGTCTGTGCCCCAACATCTGCATCAGAGGAAGATGAAATTAAATACTTTTATGACAGTTTAGAAGAGACGTTAGAAAGGGTAGAAAAAAGAGGCATTATAATCATCATGGGGGATTTTAATGCAAAAATTGGCGGAGGTAGAATAGAGGAAGAGGAAAGTCAGAGGCCCATTTGGCATAGGAGACAGAAACGAGAGTGGGGAGAGACTGATTGAATTCTATATAGAAAAGAATATGTGTTTTACCAACACACTATTTGAAAAACACCCAAGAAGGCTCTACACCTGGACTTTACCAGATGGAAATAGCAGGAACCAAATTGATTATATTTTAATGCAACAAAAATGGAGGACATGTATAACATATGCAAAGACACTTCCTGGAGCTGACTGTGACACTGATCACAAACTTCTTGTTGCAGAGTTTAAAATAAAACTGAAAAATTGTTGAAAGGGGCTAAGCCAATATGTTTTGATTTGAGTAATTTGCCAAATGATTACAGCATTGAGGTTGAAAACAAATTTGAGGCGCTAATGGCAGTGCAGAAGGATATGACACCTGATGAGTTGGCTGATGAAGCATAGAAACATCATCATCACAACAGCTCAGCACGTGATTCCTAAAATAACGACACAAGAAACAAATTTCTGTAGATTTACATTACAGAAAAAAACTTTCAAGTAGACAGAAGAAAGAAGAAATTTAAAGCAAGTAGGGACAGAAAGAAATAGCCATGCATATAGGAACTACACGAAAGAAATCAGAAGAGCTATCAGAGGAGATCAAAAAACCAGTTTATTATATATACCTGTAATAGAATTAAACAACTCCAGATACAAGGAAGAGACAGAGACATGTTTAAAGAAATTAAATTTTTGAAAGGTGAATTCAGGCCTTCTTTTCATGTAATAAGTGATAAAAACAGTAACACATTAACGGAAACCAAAGACATTAGAAAGATGGAAAGAATACTGTAGAGAAATGTATGAGGATGTGACAAGTAATTCAAAAACGACTTGTGAAAGTTATGAAAAAGAACCAGAGCCTTTACTGGATGAGGTACGATCGACAATACACAGCCTGAAGAAAGGTAAGTCACCAGGTTGCGGCGAAATACCAGCAGAACTACTTCAAGCAGGAGGAGAGGCCAGCGTCTGAATCTACTATGCACTGTGCTCAAAGATCTGGAACAGTGGCATTTGGCCTAAAGCGGGGAAAAGAACAGTCTATATTCCTCTCCCAAAGAAAGGAAAACTGAAACTATGCTCCAAATACAGTACCATCGCTTTCATAAGTCATGCTAGCAAAATCCTCTTACAAATTAACATGAAAAGGATTGAAAGTAAACTACAATGTGAGCTAGATGAAGCACAAGCGAGTTTCAGACAGGGTAGAGGAACTAGGGATCACATCTTTAATATAAAAATTATTTAAAAAAAAGCCAGAGAATACAACGAAGATCTTCATGCTTGTTTTATAGATTAAAGCAAGGCATTTGATTGTGTCCAGCACCACAAACTGTGGTCTATTACGAAAAGTATAGGGTTTCCAGCGCATTTAGTGCATTTAATTGAAAATCTTTATCATGAACAACAAGCAGCCATCAGAGCAGCTTGTGAAACATCTAATTGGTTCGAGGTGCAAAAGGGGGTGAGGCAGGGGTGCATTCTCTCACCATACCTATTCAATATATACTCAGAAAATATAATGAGAAATGTCAAAAATGACGAGACTTGTGACATGATCCGCTCAAAATTGGTGGCAACCCTATTCCGGAACTCCGCTACGCAGATGACACAGTCCTCCTTTCGAACAGCGTAAAAAAAATAGAAAATTTAATATTGTCTGTCCAAAAGCACAGTGAAGTACAAAATCTGTTCTTGAATTTAAAGAAAACGAAAATAATTTCCACAGATAAAACTGGCTGTCACCAAAAAATAACAATAAATGATGAAGAAATTGAAAATGTCACAAACTTTGAATATCTAGGCTCTATAATTAACAACAATGGAGACTGTTCTACAGAAATTAAAAGGAGGATGGCCATAGCAATGCAAAGATTGAACAGCCTTAAAAGCCTATGGTTAAGCACCAGCAAGGAGATAAAAATTAGAATTTTGAGAGCATGCATCTTCCCTGTGGCTACATACGGAAGTGAGTCGTGGACTATCTCTCAGTCCTTAAGAAAGAGAATAGGGGCTTTTGAGCTGAAATGCTATAGAAAGATTCTCCGAATATCTTTGACAAAGAAGAGGAGAAATATTGACATCTTAAAAGATCTGAACATCAAGGAAGATTGGCTAATAAACAGCATCCTTTCTCGGAAGCTGAAATATTTTGGTCATATCAAGCGCCACAACGGGTTGGAAAAAACTATAGCAGAAGGCATGGTACCAGGAAGGAGGGGCAGGGGCCAACCGACACGAAGATGGGCACAGGATATAAGTGACTCCTTGAGTATGAAAGAAAGTACATAAGGCAGGAGAACTGGCGAGAGGCAGAGTTTCTTTCAAGCAGACTGTGATGAGAGCGACGTGCAGGTGAGGATTTTGTTTTGCCCTAGAACATCATCAAAACATAAAAAAGTATGCTCCTGGCCCTGATAGCTTGCACTATAAAGACACTGCTAAGTTGCCTGCAACATCCACGAATGACCTATGTAAAGCCTACAACAGCATCTGTAATGGCACCATCCCAGAAAGCTGGCTGCATAGCTGTTTCAGTGCCTCAAGAAAAGCCTGGCAAAGATGACAGGCACATGAATCTCTGCAGAATCTTTACGATGCAGAACACACCACTCAAAACAGGGATAAAGATAGTCCCTCCCACACTCTGAGAATACAGACAGAACACAGAGACATGGTGTAATGCTGCCGTCTTTACACATGACACACATGAAGGTTTTCAGGCCGGCATTGCAACTTGTGCAGTCCCCATTCATCTGGAAAGGTTTTCAACCCAGCATTGCAACTTGTGCAGTCCCTATACATCTGGAAAGGTTTTCAGCCAAGCATTGCAACTTGTGCAGTCCCCATACATCTGGAAAGGCTTTCAACCCAGCATTGCAACATGTGCAGTCCCCATACATCTGGAAAGGTTTTCAGGCCGGCATTGCAACCTGTGCAGTCCCCATACATCTGGAAAGGTTTTCAGGCTGGCATTGCAGCTTGTGCAGTCCCCATACATCTGGAAAGGTTTTCATGCTGGCATTGCAACTTGTGCAGTCCCCATACATCTGGAAAGGTTTTCAGTCTGGCATTGCAACTTGTGCAGTCCCCATACATCTGGAAAGGTTTTCAACCCAGCATTGTAACTTGTGCAGTCCCCATACATCTGGAAAGGTTTTCAGGCCGGCTTTGCAACTTGTGCAGTCCCCATACATCTGGAAAGTTTTTCAACCCAGCATTGCAACTTGTGCAGTCCCCATTCATCTGGAAAGGTTTTCAGGCCGGCTTTGCAACTTGTGCAGTCCCCATACATCCAGAAAGGTTTTCAACCCAGCATTGCAACTTGTTCAGTCCTCATTCATCTGGACAAGTTTTTTAACCCAGCATTGCAACTTGTGCAGTCCCCATACATCTGGAAAGGTTTTCAACCCAGCATTGCAACTTGTGCAGTCCCCATTCATCTGGAAAGGTTTTCAGGCCGGTATTGCAACTTGTGCAGTCCCCATACATCTGGAAAGGTTTTCAGGCCTGCAATGCAACTTGTGCAGTCTCCATACATCTGGAAAGGTTTTCAAGCCGGCATTACAACTTGTGCAGTCCCCATAGATCTGGAGGATGCATACAAAAAAGTTCCCTTCCACCAACTAATGTGTCAGCTCATGGGACTTAAGATCCCCTCTACATCTCTAGGCAGATTACATCCTCATGTACCAAGAGGGCAGAAATAGAGATGACATTTTTTTTGGATCTACATCAAAATATTTATTTTAAAATCTGCTGTTTTATTACATAAAGTAAACATTATTTGATCTCTAATATGTTCTTCAGTAATTTTTCTATGGTTTTGTCTTTTCAGTTTTTAAAATTCTTCACATTAAAGATGATTGTTTTGTGGAAAATACAAACCTACGAGTTGGCAAACATAGAAATATCAACTTGAGCTACTCTGCTGCAGATGTTGCATGGCATCCTTCCGATGGTTAGAATATTTATATGTTGATTTAAATGTTCATGCTCATGTTTTTATCTTTTGTCAGTATATGCTTTATGTTGCTAGGCATTTAACAGACACTAGGTAGCTGAGCCTGGGCATGCTTGTTTCTTTCTTAGTATGCTATGATGTTATGAAGTCTTAATCTGTAATTGACTCTTGGTTTTTGCATTTTCATGTTGTACCCACTCCCTTTCATCATCTTTGGGTTCATTCTCACTAGTCTTTGAATTCTCAGTGACTTTGATTATGGGGATTGTTCTAGTAGCTCTTCCAATCTCTTTTTTTCTCACACAATTTCCTCTGGTTTTGTTCACATTTTTTCTCAAGCACATCATTTCACAAATGATTAGTTTTCTCTGGTGTTCTTTGTTTAATGCCCAAGTCAGAAACTGATAACCAGAAACTGGACTAAAGATTGCATTTATAATTTGTCTTTTCATCTTTGTTGGAATAACTGGGTGTTGCAATATCGGGGTAAGTTGACATGTAACTGTTTGCTTGTTGGTTTTTTGTTTCCATCGCTCTGTTTATTACATTATATGGAAAAATACGACTTCAAGTATTTAAATTTGTGCACTTGTTTTGAACTAAGGTCTTTTGTCTTTTTTGATTTGTCTGCATATGCGGCTTAAGCGTTGCGAATGCGCTTTGTAATGCCAGGGTGCCGGGTTCGATCCCAGCTGCGGACTGTTTGTCTTGCATTGGCTTTGACAGTGGTACTGAGAGCTGACCGTTTAGGAGCAGTGGCAAACTACTAAGTGTAAAATTTGCCTAGAAAAACCACAACAGCCAAAAAAATGCTGGGGTTGGTTCTGTAAAATCCTATAAAGGATACGCAAATAGCTTTTTTTGTGTATGCTCTGCCTATACTCATGACTTCTGTTTTTGCAGTGTTGATTTTCATGGGATGTTTGAGGCAGCTGTCATATAGTTGGTCAGTGTTGTTGCCAACCCCATGTAGATATACACTAGAGTAGTGAGTGTATGGTTTTGAATCCTGATGCTCACTGAGCACTCGGGGCAACCCCTATGCACTCTGTCCTCATCTTCAGCAGCCAGCGCAGAGTTCTAATACTAATGGTACTGGTTGTAAACTGGTTATTTGTCCATCTTGCCTTTCCTCTTAGTGTAGTAAGCCAGCAGGACCCTCTAGTTACACCAAGGTGCATCATTCTCTCTAGGCCGTAATAATCTTGTCTTGTTTCTCTTCTAACTTCGTTACATGTTACCACATCTGCCTTGTCATGTATCAGTCCACCACGCAGTAGTTCAGAATCAGCCAATCTGCCTGTTCATTACCCACTACGCCGGCATGGCCTGGAGAAAAGATCCAAAGTGTGCTCACTACCTGTGACCTTCCCACTGAAGCTTGCCACTATGCTCGAAGCATCCCCTTCTTCACCTTTCTCAGCATGCTTATAGAGTCTGTTATAATTAGGACATGTGTATGCATCTTGTTCTCTAGCCACCGGAAAACTGCTGTGACCACCTCCACCTCCATTGTCATTCTAGATGTGGTATGTGCTAGGCTGTTCTGCAGAAAGATTTTCCCTTGGCTTTCTATACGAACCCCTAGGCACTTCTCTTACCTCTCAACACAGAACAGTCAGCATAGATAGTTCTTCTGAATGAGAATTGTCATGAATCAATTGTTGGACTTCCACCTCCGTAGCACCTGCTGGTCACTCTCTGCACTCTCTCTGCCCCAATGTGATCACGACCCTACACAGGTCAGACTTTCCCTCTGGTACTCTGACCAACTCTTCTCGCCCAATGTTCTCCAGCATGCGTACTTGTCTAATTATGTCTTTTGTTTGAGCCATCCACAATTTTCCCTTTTTCTGCCTCTGACCCTTAACTGCAGCCAAAGTTTCATACAGAGGGTGCTCTTTACCTGCAGAAACTCAGAGGCATGCCTTAGCCTGCAGCACCTTTAGTCTATTTGCAATAGTCGGCATTGCAAGGATATATAGCATGCACAAAATCAGGGTGCCTCTTGTACATCCTAGGATCACCCGCTTAGCTCCATTCTGTATGCGCTCAAGTTTCTCTAGCTGACTTTTCAAAACAGTGAGTAACCCGAATCCATAATTTGTCACTGAAATGATTAAGTGCTGGTAAAGTTTAAACAGCTCTTTTTTCTTTGTCCATTGCTGCCATAATCTTTAGTGCATTAAGACCTTTTTGAGCCTTTGTCACAACTTTCTCTATGTGATCTTTGAAAGACAATCTTCTGTCAAAGGTGATTCCTAGGTAATGCAGTCTGTTGTCTGTTTTGATATCTGGTACTCTGACCCACTCTTTTCCTCGCCCAATGTTCTCCAGCATGCATACTTGTCTTATTCTGTCTTCTGCTTAAGCCATTCACGATTTTTCCTTTTTCAGCCTTTGACCCTTAACTGCAGCCAAAGCTTTATACAGAGGGTGCTCTTTATCTGTAGTTAGTTAGTTTGTATACAAGTTAGTTAACTTGTATCTGTAGCTACTGTGAGGTATGCCTTAGTCTACAGCACCTTTAGTCTATCTGCAATAGTTGGCAATGCAAGGATGTATCACATGCACACAATCAGGGTGCCTGTTATACATCCTAGGATCACCCGCATAACCAGTATGCGCTCCAGTTTCTCTAGCTGACTCTTCAAGACAGTGAGTAACCCGTATCCATAATTAGTCACTGAGATGATCAAGTGCTGTTAAAGTGTAAACAGCATTTTCTGCTGCATGTCCAACGCTGGCATAATCTTTAGTGCATTAGGACCTTTTTGAGCTTTTGTCACAACCCCCTCTATGTGATCATAAAGACAAACTTCTTTCAAAGGTGATTCCCAGGTATTGCAGTCTGCCATCTCTTTTGACATCCCTGCCATTTATTTTGAGGCTGTTGTCCAAAGAACTCCACAGGATCGTTGCCTTATCTGGGTTGATTACAGTATTCATCTGAGTACACCAATCGATCACCTTATTTACTGTAGCCTGTAACTCTTGAGCTATTCTATTCTCATCTGTCCCCTTCCTATATATAAGAAAATCATCTGTAATTGTCAATATTCTGCAACCCCCAGGTGTTTTCGGGTTCGCATCTTGCTCATAAAAACATTGAAAGTACAGTTAAAATGGCAGATCCATGTGGTAGTACTGGGGCTATAATACATCTTTCGGAGGACCATGAACCCAGGTGGAGAGCTACATGACAAGTATACAGAACAGCTGTTATCCAGTTCACCAAGGACAGACTCCCGTTTCCATAAGCACTGTCATCAAGATACTGTATCTGACTCTGTTGTAAGCATCTTCTAAATCAAGTGCCCGCTGCCACCATTTTCTGTCTGTTCTGGAAACTTTCAAAGGTGTCAAATGCAAAAGTGGCTGCATTTGACCACGTGTCCTTTCTTGGCTGTTTATTTCCCAGACTTTGTGGAAGGAGATTTCTCTGTTACAAAAATTCTTGTAACTTAACTGCCACTATCTTGTCCAGCACTTTACTGTAGGGTTATGATTTTAACGCTGCTGAGTGTTGAATGATCCTTGCCAGGCTTAGGAAGTGGAATCAGGTAACTCTGCATCCACTCTTATGGGACTAAAGCTGTCCTAATGCTCTGGTTGAAACAAGCAGTCATCTGCACCAGATCTGCATTGCTCATGTCCCTCATGTAGGAATATCTAACCCCGTCAGGCCTGGATGCAGTGTCTTTAACCCTTTTCAGAACATGTTTTACATCTTCCACCTGTATGCTGTCTTCATAATGTGTGTTCCTGTTGTGGTCTGTGAAATAAACCTCTTCACTTTGTCTGTGGTCAATAGCATGCTGTCATCTCTGGGAATTGTTCCCACAATGTTGGGCCAATCTTTCTTGGGCACATGCCTTATGTAGCTTACCAAACTTTACCTATGTTTGCCAGCCCCACTTTCATGAGTAAAATTCTTCCATTTTACTTTTTTGGCCTCTACTGCAATGCTTGAAAAACTCATCTTTCTTATCTCTTTCCCCCCACACCAATTCTTCCTGTGAGTTTAGGGTTGTCGGTCGCACTTTTTTAAAACACTTTACTGCAGCTCTCTTTAACTTCCATGTCTGTTTTACCTCTGATGTCCGCATTGGAGGCTGCACAAAAGAAGACTGCCTGTCTTCTTATATGTCCTCTGTTGGAGGCGTCCAAGAAGGGTGTTTGTCCGTTCATACTTGAAAGACCTGCAAACTCTTCAAACCTTGACTTTACTAGATTTGGAGATCAATACCGAACATGGCAGATGGCCACTTCCATGATGGCTCAGGACCGATCCTGTGATGTCCAGTACCAGTACCACTGACTGGGTACCAAAGCCAGGTCAATATCTGCGTCACCAAGCCTCACTGCCATTCTAGTTAGCCTTCCATCATTTCTTCTTCTTCTTTGCTTTCGATTTCGTATGCTCAGGTCAGACGATCTGGTGGGTTGCCTCTATGAACTTGCACGTCAGCAGCAGGTCCTTTATGGTTTCCCATAGCTTGCCCTGCACACTTTGCTCTTGAGGCCAGGTGTCTTTTTGAAGTTGTATGTAGAGTGGGCAGGTCTGCAGAATGGGCTCAGGTGTTAGTGGTCCTGTTTGACAGGCACACTGTGGGGAGTCTACAGTCTTTATTTTATGCATATGGTAGTTTAGCCTGCAGTATCCTGTTTGTAGATGGAAAATTGTTGTATGTTGCTTTCTGTTGAGTCTGTTGATGTGGATGTTTACTGTTAGTTAGTTTTCTCCATAATTCCTTGTATTTTTCCTTGACAAGTGTTCTGATTTCTGGTAATGACAGTGAATGGGTGTGTTTCTCCCTTGTAAAATTTTTTTAAAGTCTACTAACTCATTTCTTGGTATGCCGCGGTGAGCTGGGATCCACTAGAGAATGATTTGATTGTTTTCTGTGAGTCTGTTTAGCTGGCGGGTCAGTTCTCTCTCCATGTTGACTTGTGGATCCCTCTAAGTCCTACAGGACTGACATGTAGTCACAAAG